CAGTAAGACAAAGATGATCGCCTCGGGGAAGGCATGTCCGGCCGCCGCTGCGCACCACGCCGGCCCTGCGTTCCTCACGGGCAGCGCTGCAGGCGACCGGAGGAGAATGAATGGGCTAGAATTTAATTTCTGTATTTCAGTATCAGACTCAGGGTAGGTGGGTGCCTCTTTCTAGATATCATTTAAAGCAGCCAGCACTGCAGTAGGGTAGGCTCCGTGTTTAACTTGGTAACCGTTTGAAACCGTGGTTCATATTACACACTTCATAGGCTTGCTGGGGAACGCTTTTTAAAATTTCATCCAGAGGTTGGTTTTAAAAATCCTGCGCATAAGATAAGCCCGTGTAAACTGTACAGAGAGGTAAGATCCAGTTCTCCACTTCCCGTTCCGGTTCCCATTCGCACGTCCAGTGCACAGGTTTGCTTGTGTACTTCCAGGTATTTCAGGGAACACTTGTAAGGCTCTCAAGGAAAGAAAATGTTGGCTTTTGGGGATATACAGCTACAGAGCTTTGCTTTCTTATTTTTTTAAGGTTTTGTTATTTAATCCTCACCCGAGGATATGTTTATTGATGTTAGACAGAAAGGAAGGGAGAGAGAGAGAGAGAGAGAGAGAGAGACATCAATGTGAGAAACATTGATTGGTTGCTGCCCGCAGGCACTCTGACTCGGACCGGAACGGAGGTGTCTGACCTGGAATCCGACCCTGACCTTTCTGTGTGCGAGAGGATGCTCCAACCAACTGAGCCACAGTGGCCAGGGCCAGAGCTTTGCTTTTTATTGCCGTTTTCATTAGACAACAGCAATCCATTAAGTGATTACCCAACCATTAAGAGAATAGTCATTACGGTATCATATTTCTTCTAAGCACACCTTACTTCCTGACCGGATCTGGAGCTATAAACCAGACTTTATGGAGACTATACTTCTGAAATGACATCTATTCACATTGTCTATCATGAGCATTTGCTCAGGTTTGTGGAAAGGTGGAGAAACACTTCGTTTAACTATGTGCTGCACCTTTGAATTGTTACTGAAACCAGAATTGACTCTTTTAAAAAGTTCTGGTAGTTTGAATATTTTAATGGGAACATTCTGAGGCTGTTGGTTAATTGTTGACTCAAAATTTAGAGGCCAAAAGACATAAAAAGAAGTAACCTTTTTTGTCTTTTTATAGGTGAAGGGAGAAGATGAGGAAGAGAACCATCTGGAAGTACGAGAAACCAAAATTAAGGGTAAAAGGTAAGCTAATGAATAGGCAGAATATCTATATCTGTTTGCCTCTTATTGTTATGGCTTATCCTGTCAGCGTTAGAATCATAAGCTAGGAGGATTGCTTAGGAAGTGCCTGGTATATTAAAAGCTGTTTCGATTAAGATAGTGTGTGGTAGCAAGCAACAGACTAACATATTTTAGGCCCATGTATGATATCTTTTTTGATAACTTGCTAAAATTGGATTCCCCTAACAGTGGCAGTTTATTTTACAACAGGAAAGCAGTTATTTTTGATCCCAGGTCTCTAATCCGTGTGGCTTAGGGATCCCCATCCAATAGATGAGTACTTCAAGCTGTTTGCCTCAGCAGATATCCTCTCATCAATGGCTAGCTACTACCCTGTTTCCCAGGGGCAGACAGCACCCTCACTTTCAAGACTTCAGGGCATGGAAAGTGATGCCTCTTTGCAGGAAGTAGACTGAGCTCTTTAAATGCTGGGGTTGGCCTTGTTCTCAGCTTTAACTTCAGCATAGCCTGGGGCCTGGCACTTATTAGTTATTTATATTAAAACACTTTATTCAGGAGCCTGCAACCAAGATTTGTGCTCTTGACCAGAGTTGAACCCAAGAATCTTCAGTCTGTGGGCTGACGCTCTAACCATTGAACACCCGGCTAGGAGGATACTTTAATTTTTATTATTTTTTAAAATATATTTTTATTGACTTCAGAGAAGAAGGGAGAGGGAGAGAGAGATAGCAACATCAATGGAGGGAGAGAATAATAGATTGGCTGCTTCCTGCATGCCCCCTACTGGGGATTGAGCCCACAACCCAGGCATGTACCCTTGACCAGAATCAAACCTGGGACCTTTCAGTCCACAGGCCGATGCTCTATCTACTGAGCAAACTGGCTAGGGCAATTTTAATTGATTTTTAGAGAGAGAGGGAGAAAGAGAGAAACATTGATGTGAGAGACATAGATTGGGAGGTATGTACTCCAATTGGAGACCCCTTAAACCTGGGTATGTGTCCTGACCAGGAATTGAACCTGTGACCGTGCATTGCACAGGATGACACTTCAGCCAACTGAGACACACTGGCCAGAATGAGGATATGTTTGTTTATTTTTTAAATGTATTTTATTGATTTTTTACAGAGAGGAAGGAAGAGGGACAGAGTGCCAGAAACATCGGTGAGAGAGAAACATCGATCAGCTGCCTCCTACACACTCCCCGCTGGGAATGTGCCCACAACCAAGGTACATGCCCCTGAATGGAATCGAACCTGGGACCCTTCAGTCCGCAGGCTGACGCTCTATCCACTGAGCCAAACCAGTTAGGGCAGGATATGGTTTTTTTCTCTCTCATTGATTTTAGAGAGAGAGAAAGAAACATCCATTGTTTGCCTCCTGTACATGCCCTGACTAGCGTCCAAACCCTAAACCCAGGTATGTGCCCTAACTGGGAATTGAACTACTCTTTAACTGGGCCAGTCTGCCAGGGCAAGAAAAAAATTTTGGGATCTTAAATGACTATCTTCTATCTATATATATAAAAGCCTAAGTGACCGTTTTACTGTTGGACTGTTCGAGCGGTAGCTGTGATGTGCACTGACCACCAGGGGGCAGTTGCTCTGACCGGTAGCTTAGCTTGCTGCTGGGGTCCAGCCAATCGGGACTGGGCGAGGTGAGCTGGACATGCCTGGATCCCTTCCGCGGTTCCTCCCCAGCCCCGATTGTGCACTGGTGGGGTCCCTCAGCCTGGTCTGTGCCCTCTCACAATTGGACAAATCTGTGCACCGGGCCTCTAGTATATATATAAAAGCCTAAGTGACTGGTTGACTTGTGTCTGTGACATGCACTGACCACCAGGAGGCAGATGCTCAATTCAGGAGCTGCCCCTGGTGGTCAGTGCCCTCCCACAGCAGGAGCACTGCTCAGCTAACTAGTGGGCGCCAAACACTGGGCTCATGGCTGGTGAGTGCAGCTGCAACAGTGCGAGCCTCTCCTGCCTCTGTGGCAATGCTACCAAGCAATGGCAGGCGCAGTGGGGCTGGGATAAGCGGGAGTGGCGCAGTGCCCAGCCTGGGCTTGGGCTCCTCCCCGGCTGCCTGCTGCTTCACGCACTACTGGACCCCTTGGGGGATGTTGGACTGCCAGTTTGACAGTCCAACATCCCCTGAGGGGTCCTGGGTTGCGAGAGGGTGCAGGCCAGGCTGAGGGACCCCACTGGTGCACGAATCCATGCACCAGGCCTCTAGTTAAAAATATTTGACAGAGCCCTAGCCAGTTTGGCTCAATGGATAGAGTGAGTGTCAGTCTGTGGACTGAAGGGTCTCGGGTTCAATTCCGGTCCAGGGCGTATGCCCAGATTGCGTGCTCAATCTGTAAGGGCAGTTTAACCCTATCCCAGCAGTAACAGGACGCTTGCTTATCTATAACTAGAGGCCCGGCACCTGAAATTCGTTCAAGAGTAGGCCTTCCTTTCCCTGGCTGCTGGCAGCGTCTTCCCTCTGGCACCGAGGACCCCCTCCGGCTGCCAGCAGGCACCCGGGACCCGGACTTCCCTTGCAGCCCTAACTTCATCCGGAAGGTTGTCTGGTCTAATTAGCATATTATTCTTTTATTAATATAGATGAGCCTAGTCCTCACTTTCTGCACCGTGCAGACCCTCATCCTGGAACAGTTAGTTTGCAGAGGCTTTGAACCGAAGCCAGGTCCCCAGTGTTAGCTGCTGGTGTCAGTTAGAGGTCTGTTATAACCCATTTTTCAGCAAAATAGCTTTTAGAAAGACCCACACAAAGACCTGGAAGCAAGAAACAGAATCTAGAGCTATATAAGACCGGGTTC